CGCGTGCACATACACACACACACAAACACACACACACTAAAATAAATATAACAAAACTTTTAAATGAATGGGAGGTTAAAAAAATAATTTGTAAACTGGGGAACACTACATGAGACAATCTGTTGCATCCATTTTTGTTTTAAAATCCTGTGGTAGCCAGATGAACCTATAGTCAAGCTAACTGGGAAGCTGAGGCAGGAGATTACTTAACTGAGACCAAGCAACATGGCGTGACCTCATGTCAGTAACAAATAACAAACTATCCCAAGATTCAAAGGACAGATTGATGAGGGTTGTTAGACAAATGACTTACAGATTTCAGTTCATTGGGATGGTTTGGTTTGTGAGGAAGAAACACTAAAATCTTCATTTTAAGATCCAGGTAGAGACTGAAAACTGTGTCAAGAACATCAGATAGAGTTGTTTGTTCCTAGTGAGTCAATGATTTTATAGGCCATTAAGAAAGCCATGCACTTCCCCAAAAGAAAACAGAAAATAAACACATCCTTAAGAACACCCATTTTAGCTAGGAGTGGTGGCTCATGCCTTTAATCCCAGCACTCAGGGAAGTAGAAGCAGGTGGATCTCTGTGAGTTCAAGGTCAGCCTGGTCTACAAAGAGATTTCCAGGAGAGCCAGAGCTATTTCTCGGAGAAACCCTATCTCAAAAAATAAAATCAAAACAAAACAAAAACCCAACCATTTCTTATCAAACTGCTAAAGGAGGAAAGATGACTTTTATAAACAAGGAACCTTCAATAAGTATAAGTAGAGGAAAAAAACGCAGAACTCCTGCAAACAACTTTTGCATTATGCTGGCATTTACTTGGATTTTAATATATGGTTAAGAGACTCCTAGAAACTTATTCAACTCATTTCAAACTTTATATGAACGTTGAATTCAAATATGCCCCAATTTGTCCTTTGAAAACAATAAGGGAAAATTTTAAACTAGATTCCTCTGTCTCCTATGCGCAACTAGCATCAGAATCCTCTCGATTATTCTTTAAATATATCAGGTCTATTTTTCCTTTTCATTCCTATCTCTTGGCATAACGTAGGTCCTCCATTTCACCCCCGAATCACTCCCCCATCTTCCCTCTACTCCTCTATATTTGCCAGAATCACATCACTGATGATGAGTTTGCCTTGCTGTCCACTGTGGCATGTCCAGTATTTGCAGGGCAGGGCGCAGTAGTCTTTAGGTTGATCTGATCCTTTTGCTGTTTCTGCCTGTTCTCCCACCATCTGCCGGCAGGAGCTCTACAGAGGGCGGTATCCCCATCCAATCTCAGAGTCCACATCACCAATACACTCCATCATAATGTCTGCCCTCCACTTCTCCACTAGGATGTGATTCTAGCCCTCTGACTTTCCCGGGCCCTCATCCATTCCCACTTACCTGAGGATGTGGACAGATATTTACTAATGGAACTTCCTTAAGCTGTAGTGCTGTAGTTATCTTTGGCTTCCTCTGAAACCCTTTTCTTGTTCTTTGTTTCTTTTTTCTATTACTTAGAATGTCTTGCCCCATGTAACTTTATGGTTTGTTTCAATGCCTTTACCTAATCTTCTCAACATGACTTCTCTGGCTGCTGTGTCTTCAATTAACTATCTCTTAATCATGCTGATATATGTGTGAGTCTGTTTAGGACACAGGGTCTTGCAAGAGTGCCCAGTCCCTCCTGCCTGGGCCTCCCAAGAAACTGAAAAGGCGGGTTTAGAACATCACATCTAACTTTGTGCTTTATTCTATGCTTAGTACTTCTTGGTATTTAGCATACTGCCTTCTTAAAACTAACATGTCTTGTGTTTGTCTCCTTCAGACTCCTACGCTCACCAAATACAAGATTTCTGGCTGTTTCCTAGAGGTGTGCCTTGTATTTGATAGGAATACAAGAAATACTTTACAATAAATTCCTATTTTAAAAGGTTTAAGGAGAGGCAAGTGTATAGCTTTGTAGCAAAGCACATGTGTAGCATGATCAAGGCTTTGGGTTCTATCCCCAGGACTGCATATAGTGAGAAACACACGTGTGGCCCCACAGTCAAGCACACATTATGCTCTTCCATAGGACTCCGTCCGTTTCCCAGCACCCACCTCTGCTCAGATGTCTGTAATTCCAGTACCTCTTTTGGTCTCCCAGGACACCAGGCATACATGTGGTACACAGACATCCGTGCAAAACACTCATCCACACAGAGAATTAATGAAAGAAATATTAGGATGAAACAAAATAAAAAACTGAAGGAACCATGAAGATTGGTGATGAATAATAACAACAGTAACAGTGATAACAAGGAAAAATATGCTGGTATAAAACTGGGAACTCACATTGTGCCTGACCCTACAGACGGTATCCTGAAAACAATCCTGTTGTCCTTGCCTATTCTTTCCTAATTGCCAAGTAAAGCAAGCCTTAAAGAGCTTAGACATACCCTTAATAAATGAACTCAAATTCTCCCTAGGCTTATTTACCACTGAAAGTTAAGTCCTAGGCTAATTTGACCCAACTGAAAATGCTAAGTGTGAACTAAGATGGGGGGGGGGGTTGGGAGAAGGGCCCCTCAGCAAGCCACTTCTCAGACAGTGAACATTTTAACTGCTAGTCCGCTTTAGTTATTCCTCTTACCCTTCCCCACAAACTTGTTCACTCCCTTCCTCACCCACCCCTTACCTCCAAAAAGAGAGTCTCTGAATAATGCTATGATCTCACTAGAGAGATTAAAAACTCCACCTTCAAATACCCGTTCTCACTTCTCATGTACAGGATCAGAGCAGAACGAGCAGCCACAGTTGGCACCCAAGTGGTGAAGTAAGCCGTCATGGAGTGAGGAGAAGAAAAGTAGAGAATGCTTTGTTCATAATTACCCAAGATTTTCCAACATGAGCAGGGAAAGAGGAAGTCTAAGAATATTAAGAATCAAGAGGGAAAAATCTTCATTCTGAGAGTCCCCGTTAATGACCCGAAACCCCCAGGGCAAAGAGGTAATCAAGGCAGAGTACTGGGCTCTGAAGCCACAGGGGTGGAACCGAGGACACTAACGAGGACTTGTGGGCGTCAGGTCAGCATCTCCAAAGTATTAAGTAGAGGTGCAGATGCTTATATCCCCAGGCCCAGAGAATGAGGGCTGAGATTACAGCTCTCCCACCTTCGCCAGTGTTCGTTATGCCGAATGCAGAAAGATACACTGGAGATGAACTACCTGCTGAGAATTACGGAGGGGAAACTGCCTAATCTCCGCTTTCTCTATCTGACCTTCGGGGCTGGCCCACAACACCCACCCGGAAAACCTCAGCTGCCTTCTCGCACAGGCAAGCATATATGCAGAATGCATTCTTGTTTTCATTTTCTGTGGGGGAAAATCCATTTGTTCCCTGCTTCTAAACATTCGTACAAATGCATGAAAATGGTTTTATAAAAGAATCCTTACTTTGGGGCCAGAGAGATGGCTGTGGGTGCCCATAAAGATGGCTGCACCCCCATCTTAGCACAAGGACAGAAAGTTCACCGCTATCCTCAGCAAGTCATAAGACCTAAAGGTCAAAGGTGTGGCTACAATAGGGAGTTTGGCTATCTTAGTCTAAATAACAACAGACCTGAATCTGACCTCAAGGCTAGGGAAGGAGAAGTTGGAGCTAAGGTGTGGTCACTGAACTCTTCGAATAAGTGAGGAAGAAAAGTCTGTTCCTTTACATGATACCATGTTCCCCTTTTTGGGTAAGGTATATATATGAATGGTAAAAGATAAACTCGTGGCATTCCAGTATTGACTGATCTGACCTTTATTCTGTCTCTCTGTCTTTATTGTCTATAGCTAGCCTTTCCCTCATCCAGACTCCCCCCACTCATGTACAGACTTGGGGCCACTCTGCAGGCTCTGATTGCAGCCCTGCAAAGACCGTCCTGATGGCTGGCTGGCTTAGTGGCTAAGTGTTGCTGCTGGCAAACCCGACAGCCTGAGTTCCACCCCCAGGGCCCACATGGTAGAAGGAGAGAAAACACAAACACAGTAAATAAATAAAAAGTTTTTAAAACAAAAAACTAAACTCAGTTTAGGACTAGTATGATAGATAGGTAAGGGTGTTCGCTTCCAGGGTGACAACCTGAGTTGAGTTCCATCGGCAGAACACACATGGTAGAAAGACAGAACCTACAACAAATTGTCCTCTGACCTCTACACACACACATTCATCCACAGACACACATACATACACACACACTCATCCACAGACACACATACATACACACACTCATATACACATGCACACATATACACAGAGACATACACACACACATATACACACACGATAAGGAACTTCTCCTAAGTAAATAAATACAATTTTTCTTTTTTTTTTAAGTTTGTTTTAAAATTTTCATTTGCATTGCAACCAGAATTCTCCCTCCTACCCCTCCTCCGACCACCCCTCGCCTCCCTCCCAGCCCACCCCCACTCACCCCTCCCACAGGGTAAGGGCTCCACGGGGGTTGACAAAGCCTGGTCCAAAGCCTTACTTTGGGAAACTTACTAAGAGTTTGATGCATTAAAAGCAAACCAGCCTTTATTAAGAACAACTTTAAAGACACGGGGGTTATTTGGGTTTTCCTCCTCTCATTGCCTACAATTTGTACTCTCAAAGCCACATGAGCACCCTCTCAGATCTGCTGTGCGTGCCTTATTCTCTGCTAGTGCTCAGATGCGAACTGTCAACACTCCCGTGACAGAGCAGTGAACAAATGCATGCAGCTCTAACCTGTTCTTCATAGGACTGAGGAAGGTGACCACATGTGAGTAAAAAACGGAGGCGAGGAATAACGTGGCAATCAATAACACTTCTCCATGCTTGGTTATATTTGAAGCCTATCTTTTAGTAAAACTCAGATATTAAAAAAAAATCTGATAAAAATAACAACAATCCAGAAAAATACAGATAGGCATAAAAGTCATACAACTTTAGAGTCAAGTCAAGTCAAGCATCTACCGTGCCCCATGCCTTACCAGCAGACCTATCCCTCACTGCTCCTCCTGGATCATGTCCTGTTGACCGTGTGTGAGCCCATCTCCTGCATCCAAGCACCGCAGCGGAACAGGACAAGGGACATGGAGAGTCTTGGGAGGGTAAGCTGCTGAATGTTTACCAGCCTGGAGAAGACAAAGTTCATTTGTTCTTAGTGTGCCATTAGGATCGGGGTGTCTATGCCTAGTTCTAAGATGTGATGTACTTTTTAAAAAGCTATCAGAGGCCTAGAGCTGTTGTCTTAATTACATTGCTGACTACTAAAGTACTGGATAGGATTAACAGATTTTTATCAAAGCAGTGAAACTTTCAAATATCTCCACCTGCGTAGAGCTCTGAACAAGCATTCTGCTTCTAAATCCTTGCATCGGTCAGCCCGGTTCCCTAACCACTGACTTATAATACTTCCGCTGTCAGGCTTAGTGCCCCTCAGCCCAGGGGGCTATAAAAGCAGCATCTAAGTGTAAGGCAAAGCCCTCCACCTGAGAGTCTGACCTGTTGGACTGGAAGAGCTCTGTCCCCACATGATTCTTTGGAAGCGGGCATTGGGGATCATCTGTTAAAGCGCTGGCATTTATTGAGATGAACCCTAACTTGACTCATGGCGTTAATTCTGCCTACACCGTGTGAAAAAAGTGTGTTGGGTGCTATGGGAAGGGGAAGGCAGGCCCTGTGTTCCAGAACTTCCATTTCCTCTAATATGCATTTTTAAAAGGATTACCCAAGACGAAAAATACTTTGAAATCATAACCCAATCCACCAGTCAAAGACACAGTAAAGTCTAAAGTGCTACAGAACACAGAAAATTTAGAGTCCTAAGAGGAGGGTATATTTAAGTGGGAGGAAAATGGAGAGTAAGGAAGAGGAGGAGCAAGACAGTATGGAGCAGGCTGGGGATGAGGGTTACCCTGAAGGAGCACTGGAAGAATGAAAAACATTCAAAACAGAACCCAAGAGCTTCAGCAAAACCCTACTGTGCCATTATCCTGAACACTGGAGATGACCGTGGGGCATCCCAACACAGTGCCCCCAGTACAGCTGCTGAAGCCATGTTCCAGGGCTTTTAGTGAGGCCACTGGGCTCTTAGGAACTCGGAGGCATCTTGGGTCATTTGACAGTGTCATTGCTTTGAACAAGAACCGTCAATCATTTTGTTGTTGTTTGATCAGGAAGTGCTAAGCTTTCTTGCAACAGGGCTGCCACCTTTTGGCTTCTCAAAAGCAAGTCTTGGGGTTCCCACTTTGCTACAGCCTTCCCAGCGCTTACTATTGTACGTCCTTTTACTTATATTTGTCCTCATGAGTGGTAAGTGGTAGAAGATTAGCGAGCTATAAATAACCACAGGGAAGATATTTAGCTCTTTAGCTATGCATGAAGTACTGAGTCTGAAAGACAGTGGCAGAGGAAATGACCATCTGGGGAGATACCAAAAGTAAAGAAACACGAGATTCAGAGACATTCTTTGGGGGTGAGTGACTGTATCAGTGATGAGATCAACCATATAGACAAACCATTCCCGAAAGGAAAGCTGAGGTGAAACACAGACCCTTCACCTTAGTACACTTGAGGAAACCTAGGAATTTCAAAATAAAGATGGAATCTAGAAACTCTCCTGTCCTCCTCACTGTACTTCCATTCCCCCTCCGCCTCTCCTTGAGGAAATTACAAGAGGGTTTGGGGCATTGCCTGACTCACACACTTGAGGTCCCTTTAGCTGAGTTCAGCCACTTATAGACAGAATACTAAAGAAGGCAAAGGGGTTACTGCCTTTCTGTTTTCTGTTTAAAATGTAAAACAATAAAGCAGTATCAGGATTTCTTCTGTAAGCCTCCTGTGATGGATGGGACAGTGGTACCCTCCACTCTCGGATAGGCATGCGTGTGCTCAGAGACACTTTCCTCCAAGGCCTGGAATAGGCTCAGGAGTCCTGGAGCACTGAGTGTTGCTACAGCTTAGTTATCTGGTTGGCTGGGAGTCCAGATGACAAACTGTCAAAAGGCTCCAGTTTCCTGCACCCAAAGGGAAAAAAAAATCTCTTAGCAAAAAAACTCTACTACTGACAAATGCAGACGAATGACACAGGCTTTGTAAAAGTGTAATCTCTGAAATTACATAGTTCCTAGAAGTATTTTCCCCTTAAATCAAAATCTACTCTAATTTTATCCTTATTAGTTATTCAGGGTTTTAAAATAGATTTCCTAGAGGGTAAAACTTAAAATAAAAAGAATAAGTAAAAAAGCTATAATCTACTAAAGGCATTTGGATTTATTTGGTGTTCAACATAGTGTCTGCTGTCTGTAGGTGGCAGGCCCCAGAGCCTGTACTCGACCCGCCAGGCTTCAGAGTCTCATTTTGATAAACACCAACAAGCCCCTATTTCAAATCCTAGAAGTTAATTTCCTTTCCTCCCTTTCCTTCTTTTCTTTTCTTTCTTTCTTTCTTTTCTTTCTTTCTTTCTTTCTTTCTTTCTTTCTTTCTTTTTTTCTTCCTTCCTTTCTTTTCTTTTTTCTATGTATGGGAGGTATGCATGTGTATGTGCACATGCTCCAGCAAGTGTGCATGTGTGTGGGGGGGGAGTGGGGGGGGCTGCGAACATCAACCTCCATTGCTCTCCATTTAGTGAGGCAGGGTCTCTCACTGAACCAGGAGCTCTTCAATTCTAGCTAGTCTAGCTGGCCAGCTTGCCCTGGGGATCTGTCTCTGATGCTGGGATTCCAGGCAGTTTCCAGGCATGCTTTCATGTGGATTTTGGAGTCCTCACTCTTGTGCAGTAAGCATTTCATCCACCAAGCCACACACCCACCCACAGCAGTCCTGTTTAACAAAAGAAAAAGAAACCTCTAAAAGCCAGTCACTCAAACCACAAACTATATATATACTGTGTGTAGGATCTTTCTTTTGAAATCCTCCCTCCCTTCCTCCCCTCCCTCCCTCCCTTCCTCCCCTCCCTCCCTCCCTTCCTTCCTCCTCTCCCCTCCTCCTCTCCCCTCCTTCCGTTACTTCCCTACTTTTCCCTCCCTCCCTTCCCTTTCTCCCTCCTTCCCTCCCTCCCTCCCTCCCTTCCTTCCTTCCTTTCTTTCTTTCTTTCTTTCTTTCTTTCTTTTTTTTTTTTTTAAAGCATTGTCTCATTCCATATCCCAGTCTAGGTAGATCAGACTGGCCTCGAACTCACAGAGATCTGCCTGCCTCTGTCTTCCAAGCACTGGGATTAAAAGCATGCGACACCCCACCAGGTAAGAAACAAATTATGAGCTGAAGCTCAGGACAGCTCATAATCTCTAACCTCAGAAGCAAACTAAGGAGAAAAGGTCCAGAAGGGATACTATAGGAAAGCCCATCACCTTCTAATTCTTACCCTGCCCCTTTATAACTTTATGATATTCAGCTGAACTTTTAAGGAAACCGAGTACTAAAGACGTCCATCTATTGTTTCCTTGTACTATCACTGCTCTAGCCCAGCTCTAAGGCATTATGAGTTTATGGATTAGAGCAGTGGTCCTTAACCTTCCTAATGCTGCGACCCTTTAATACAGTTCCTCATGTTGTGGTAACCCCAACCATAACATTATTTTCGTTGTTACTTCATAACTGTAATTTTGCGGCTGTTATGAATCGTAATGGAAATATCTGTGTTTTCAGATGGTCTTAGGTGACCTCTGTGAAAGCATCATTTGACCCTCAAAGAGGTAGTGACCCACAAGTTGAGAACCACTGGTTTAAATGTTGTCCAATTTGGTCCTGGTATGACAAATACATATACCAAATAAACAGCCAGGTGTGATGGTATTGTAATCCCAGCACTCAAGAGACAGAGGCAAGAGGATAGCCACAAGTTCAAATCCAGACTGAACTACATGGCATGTTATAGGTAAACAGTGTTATCTAATGAGACCATATCTCAAAGTTGAATCAGGAGCAGGTAATATGTAGGAATATGAGGTACATTTTACTGATGGAACTATCTCAATTTATTCCCAATTACATGTCACACACACACACACACACAAAATGATTGTTGAGACAGTCTCATGTCTCTCCAGCTGGACTTGAACTTGCTACACAGCCAAGGCTGACCTTAAACTCTGGATCCTCCTGTCCCTACTTCTTGAGTGCTGGGATCACAAGTATTTCCTACCATGCCTAGCTTATGTAGCACAAAAACACCAAATCCAGGGCTTTTTTTTTTAATGTTAGGCAAGCATTCAGCTAGCAGAGTTATACCTCTAGCCTCTATTAATACATGTTTTACAAAGAATATTCCCTAAGCTGAAATGTGTAGCCATAGTCACCAAAAACATTTCATAGCAGAAGCTCTATTAGTTTAGATTTGGCAATTTCATATCATACAGTGCTGTGGTGGATTCTGGAAGAAGTCTATTTCTAAGGTTCAACCAGACTGAATTGCACCAATTCTAGTGGCTACACATTAAGGATCAATAAGCAGACCATATGTGGTTTATAAAGCTGCTTCAAATTGGTAACACGACTCTAGATATTAAAGCTAGTTTACTTTTCCAATATTTTGATGAAAGTATGAGGTTTATAATAACCGCACCTTCCAATTTCTTCAAGACAGATGAAAAGGCTAAATGTTAAACTACTAATTGTGTCATAAACAACTCGTAGTCTTGCCTCTGAGTGAAGCCACTGAAGCTTATGCTCACACGAGGGAAGACTTAAAGTCATTACAGTAGCAGCGTCATTCCCAACTTCAAGCGTCAACTATATTAACTAAGGACTGGTGAGATGCAGAATCACACACGAAGTGCGATTTCCCACCCTACTACGATACTGGAAAGCTGGTGAGCTTTGATCTGTTGCTGTTCTCTTTAAAATAGCATCATACGCCTGGAGAGGCTGCTTGGCAATTAAGATCACATGCTGCTCTTGCACAAAATGCTTATTTAGTTCCTAGCACATAGGTTGGGCAGCTCCCAACCAACTATAACTCCACCTCTAGCAAATCCAAAGCCTTCGGGCTCCTACAGCACCTGTATTCACATACCACACACCACTGTGCTACACATAATTAAAAACAAAGACCTTTTAAAACATTATCTTAAATAGTATCACTTCAAGAAACAGTATTTTGAATTTTAAACAACAAGCAGTTTTTTTTTTTTTT